GAGAAATGCAAATTAAAACAACACTGAGATTCCACCTTACCCCAGTAAGAATGGCTAGCATTAAGAAATCAACCAATAACAAATGCTGGTGAGGCTGTGGAAAAATAGGAACCGTTCTCCACTGCTGGTGGGAATGCAGACTGGTGAAACCACTGTGGAAATCAGTTTGGAGATTCCTCCGAAAACTAAGCCACCATGTTTGAGAGGTCCTGGGACAGCATGTGACGAAAACTGTAATTGACCTCTTATGGTTGAAAGTAGCCTCTCATCATCAATCAGCAAAAAGTCATATACATTTTAGCCTCAAGGAAATGACTTCCTCAACCTGAGTAGGCTGGAAAGGAGCTTCTTCCCCAAATCAGCCCACAGACCTGCATGCAGCTTCGTGCACCTTGATTATTGCTTTATGGACTGTGTTGGTTTGGGGCTTATTTTGCAAGGCAGAACAATATAATACAGGAAACATATTTCATATGATTATATATAATAGTCACCCAAAGAATGATATACAAGAGAGTGCACGAAATCTGTCCACACAACATAGACCAAGAATTCAGCTGAGGGCCTGGATCCTGCAATAATGTCCCACATGAGTCCTACTTAAGACCTAGCACCCATAACAATGCCTCCCACAAATCCAACTAGAGACCCAAGGCCCATGACAATATCTCATGCAGCCCTGTTTCACAGATTTGCACTGCAAAGGCCCAAAGGTCAGTGATGGAATCTACAAAGTCTGTGCCAGCAGGATGAAGGATCTGTGCTAGCAGGCTGAGGGATCTGCACTGGAGCCAGGAAGCGATGCTCAGAAGAACCAGAGCTCCCCTGAAAAGTACCACAGCCATCCTCAGCAACAGTGAGGTCCCAAGCTCCTCCAGTGATCAGGATGGCCGAGTTCCCATCGGGGAGGCCAAAGCAGCAAGCTTCTCCAGGAGACCGGCAGTGCACCATCTTCCCCTCTGGAGCCAGGAAGCGATGCTCAAAGTGAGGACCAGAACTCCCTCAAAGTGAACCAAAGCCATTCTCAGTGCCAATGAGGTCCTGAGATCCTCGGAGGATGAAAACAGCCAGTTCATCAGGAAAGCCATCATGACAAGCTCCTCCAAAACAAACAACAGCTTCTTACAGCTTCTAACAGCTCCCGACAGCCTCTTTAGTGCCCAAAAACCTTTCCCAGCTCCCGACAGCCTAGCCTCTTCTCCAGTTCTGCCTCTTATGCTGCTGGCAACAAACCCCAGGTGGGCCTCCGACACCCGGCAGCATACTTACTCAGTTCAGCTGGGGGTTATAAGTTGGCCACCAGTTATCAATCCACTACACAGACCCTAAGCAGAAAACCAAGCTCAATAGTAGCAGGAGCCCTAAGCTATAGGACTATGAGTAACATGTGCTATTTTAAGCTTCTATGTGTTTGATATGTTTTTATGAAGCATTAGAAAGCAGATTCACACGGGAATTGCCCAAGCAGGTCAAGCTGCAGTATCAGAAGATACCTGTGACTTGGGCTTCACAGGCACACCTGTGTCAGGGTGCTCAGTTTAGGACCCAGCTTTGTCCTGGTTTCATCCTCACTCCCTCCTTATGGAGAACTCCCGTGTGTCATCTTTTTTAAGTAGAGGTGCGGAGCAGCAGTGAAGTGTTTACCGAAGGAGACACTTGCTCATCACAACTCTGATGCTTTTTTGTCACTCCCCTGAACAAGTGGGAATAAAACAATTATTTGAAAAATACTTATTTCTAGAATTTGGATCAATAGCTACTCTGAAGGCTAAATCACTAGGCCTGGAGATGATGCATAAATATCAGCAGTGGCAAAGAGACAAAAGAAACAATCTGACCAGTTAGGTGTCCACTCGCTCCATTGACCCCTTCCTCATCACTCGGGATCTATCAGAAGCGGAAGTATTCCAGCAGCTGTAAGTTAAACCTTCTCCATCCTGAACAGAGCACAGTATACTCCGCTCCTGCCTTTTCCAGGGGACTTCATGGTATCAGAAGATGAAAGCATGCCGTACCTACCTTTGCATGGCTCCTACTAGATGCAGTACTGAAGTCCCATTGATGAGTACCATTTCCAGCTTTGCCCTCTATTAACAGAGAAATAGGGTGAGACATGCATTTCCTTTGAGTAACTGATGCATCCACTATGAGGGTAGCGATTCTTAAATGGTGGTCATATAAAAAAGCTTGAAAGTGAGGTTGTGCATTGCTTAGGATCGGGATTTTTGACATCAGACAACCTTTTTCATTTAAGCCTCCAGCATTTGTGAGTTCTGTCCATGTGTGGCTGCTTTGGTTCTACTAAGGCTTAGCTTCTTGTGTCTGGAGTATATAAACACCCTATACTTTACGTTTAAATTTTTAGGAAAATTGCAGCTGGCACAGTGGTAAATGTTCAATAAAAGCCCATTATTACATTTGAAAATATCTATCATATCACATTCTCACTGCTGAATTCCTCTCTCCATAGACTTTTATCACTCTTTCATGTGTCTCTCTTTTACCTACAGGTCAGTGATAATTGTTTCAAAAAATCTGGGACTTCACACAATCACAAGAGATTCAATACAAAAAGACATTTAGTCAGCCTGGGGTTTATCTCAGTGGTAGACAGCTTGTCTAGCACATGTAAAGCCTTGGGATTAATCAAATATTCTCTAGAAATGTAATTATAATAAGACATAGAAGAAAGGTGTATTGAAATTTTTAACGTGTTTAGAAAATCAGGGTACATTAGATCAATTTCTTCTTGGAACATGCCTATAAAATATAAATAGCTTTATTCCATAAGTGTCTGTGATGTATACATCACACTCTAAAGAATCATGTGGACATCCAACATTCAAATTGCTTCCTTACATAATATTATTTGCAATTTAGTGGATGGTGTTTTATATACCACCACAAAGGAATTTAAAAACATTTAAAAATTACAGATGGAGTAAACATTTCATTTGCTTGCTTTAAAAATGTCATAACTCTTGAAAAAATCCTCAAAAACATGAATACATGTAAACATTCTCTTACTTTTTCTAGAAATTTCAGCCAAAGGGAGAACATAGGACTGAATTAAACTGACGTGCTATTATGAAGAAATTGAAAAATGCAATTGACTTTTAAAGATTGATAGTTGGAATCACGGGAATGGGCTTTATTGTACTGGCTGAGAATGGGATATAATATACCAATATTCTGCAAATGAGCTGGGGAATAGTGAGCATCTGAGTGAGCAGTACCTGGGCACTATCATCCTACTTCCAGTGGAAAAGAAGCTAAATGAATCATATAGCGAAGGGAAATTTTGAGTGACTAAACTTTTAATTTTCTCCATCAAGGTATGAGATTAAATTATTCTTAAATTTTAAAAATCAGTTAAAAATCTCAAAACAGTTTTGTATCTATGAAATTTGATGGCATTTAAAAATAAAATAATAAAATATCATCTCTTGGATGGCTGAAGTAGAAAAAACTTCAGGGAGGGAGGAAGCAAGCAAATGATCCATTAAAGCTATTAGGTAGTGCGTTGACTCTATTGAATCATGGTTAAAACTTCATTTGTTTCCTACCTACTTAAAATACTGTGGTAACTCACACAGCACTTTTGATTAGATGGATTGGCTCCTGGGCCAGTTCTACAGAGTGATAACATCCATCTGCCTGGGAACCACAAGTAGGAGATGGGGTGTTCTTTTGTATCTAAAGCACCAAGCTGAGCACAACTCCTGAACTGATACATGAACCCAAAGGAAAACAATCTTTTCTTCTGGAGTTGCTAAACTGGATCAGCTAATGATCATCCTGATGAAATATGGGAGGAGTTCATGACATACAAGGAACTATTTCTGGAATGTTGTCTCTGAACGCAATCAATAAGACCCTAATTCCTATATATCCTCTTTGTTCTGCTTGTTCTCTAGTATCGTTCCTAGTTTTGCAAAATCCTCATCGTTATTAAGTTAAAACGAATTGTTTTTCTGTTTCTTGAAGAACAAAAGGTCTTGTCTGCTGCAAGGGCATGGTTTCAAAATGCAATTCTTGTAGGACTAATGACACAGGGAAACTTTACCTGTTCCATGATAGCAGAAACATGACTTTAATTTGATTTCTGGCATAAAAGTAGTCAAAAATTTTGAGAAGGATTTTAGTAAATATTAAATAGTTAGCTTACATCTCACCTTTATGGCACTGTACTATTCCTCAGGCTGTGCTTTTATTTTCTTCCTCATTAAAATAACAGAAATCTTTATACAGACATTGGTATTTGGGATAATTATTCAAAAGGCTAAGAATAACACAGTGTTAACTTTCTAAAAATACTCAGATTCAGAAAATATTGACTCAGAAAATGCAGCTATTCTATTGAAGAGAAAAGTTACTATGATAATGTACATTGTAAGGTAAATGACAAAGACCGCTAGTTCCAGAGATGCTATGATCCTCAAATTGAATTTTATGGAGAAACAAATGTAAGACAGAATGAGAAGGAAGCAAAATTCCAGAAAGAGAGAGCCATGCTCTGTGTCTTGGGTTCTGTACTGAGTGACAGAAAAAGTATCCATTGGGTAGCTTATTGCACTGATCCAGAGGACAGTTTGTGGGATAAGATTCTCTTGGTCCACATCTTGGCTCCACTGAGATGCCTCACCCATAGACAAATCACCTAATTCAGTTGACCAACTTGTAAAACGAGGGCTAAGATTATTTATCTCTCTCGTGTTATCATCCTAAGGATCAGATCAGTTATCCACAGAACCACTTTTTTTGGATACATCTCAACCTTTTAGATCTGTTGGTATTCCGCTCTTACTCTTCCACCGTGGTGCCTTGGAAGCAGACTTGTGTATTCCACAGGACCTGATCAGCGTCTCTCACCTGTGTTGAACACAAGACATTTGCAGGAGATAGGGGAGCAGGAGGCAGTTGAAATCTGTATGCTTTTCTCATACTCAGCTTCCTGCCACACCACAGATATGCGCTACTTCCATCACTTGCCAACAACAAACTTAGTCTCAAGAGGTATTGCTCTCCAGCTGTCGTCTTACATGGGTCTGCTAACCTCGCCCAGCTCTTGCTCCTTCTGCTCTACAGAAAGCAGCAGTAACTAATACTGGGATACCTCACCAACACCTGTTTATTTCTCTTAACCTGAAAATGGCCTCTTAATTAAGTTCTTGAGTCACCCCTTTCCTTTGTCATTTCTTTTGTTGAGTCCTTGAGTGCTAGAAGCACATCCATCAGGCAGTGCATATTCAATAAGATTGTCTACTGGAAACATTACTGAGTTGGAAATGGTATGTTTTTCTGATAAGCACAAAAATCATTAAAAAACCAAATAAACATGAACACTTCTAAAGAAACATTATAATTCAAGCTTTAAGAAAACAAGGCTACTCCTCCATTCTGAAATAGTACCCAGGAGACTGCAGGTTGTAAAACACGATGCTAGTAATGCCTATTAAGATATTCAGACATTGAGAACATTTGGGGAAAAAATAACTATTCTATGACATATAAAAATCAAATTGATTTTGTTCAAATAGAATATAAAATGTATGAGGGACAAAATACAGATCAAAAGTGAAATTTACAATTGTTTTAAAAAATACATAAAATTGTTGAGAAAGTGGGTCCACTAGAGTAGGGTTATTTCCTTATTTATTTTTAAACTACCATGACATACGTTGCTATGCATCCTGCTCGACAAATTTCAACAGTCATGAGGAAATACACAGATAGCGAGTAGGTTTGAAATCTAGTTTGATCACTTGGTGAAAATATACGAACTTAGAGAAATTATCAAGAAAAAGGATTATGGAACTTATTCCTAAACTTTTCATCTTTCTTATTTAAGAACTAAAGAGAAGTTAGTACATTGAATAATGCCATTGTTAGTTGTAAGAAGACTAAAATAACTAATCATGAAAAATACTGATAATATGGATGTATGCTTCATTTTATACTCTCTGCATTTTAATGAGTAAGCCATAACATATGCACTTATGGTTGTAAAAATATTATAATTTTTCTTTATTAGGATTTTTTCTATCTTTATAAACAAAGAAGATGCAAATCATTTAAAAGTCCTGTCATCTACTTTAATAAACTGTACTGAAAGTTATCAGCAACTTGCTTTAGAGAGAATTCCTATAAGCAGAAATAAAGGCCGGACCGAACAGTTCTGCTGGCTTTTCTGTAAGTCTGCCAAAAGGATTACATATTTACAAATAGAATATATTCTATTATTAGTTTTTAGTATACTGTAAAACCGCAATAACTTTCCATTTAATAGGAGAAAAGAAACTCCAAACTTACCATTTACAGAGAATTGTTTCTTAAAGAGGAAAAATAAAAGACTATGTCCTTCTCAGCAGAAATCGTTGCCAGGGTGAGACGGTAATATATTTCATTTCCCTGGTCCATTACAATTTAAAAGGTCTTATTTCCTCCTCACGTCTTTTTCTAGCTGCACATTGTCTCACCAGCTCTTTTCAACTGATCAGATATCATTGTTTTTATTCTCCCCTGTTAAAGGTGAAAGCCATTCCTAGGATATTTGCCTTTGATCTTTATACTTTGAGTAAAGAAAATACAAGCATCAAGTGCAGTTTAAAGTAAAATAGAAACAAACTTCTACAAGCACAGGCAATGAGGATAGGTCAAATGGGACAGACTGAAGGTAGTGTTTAAACATAAACAAAATGGTTTTTATTAGGGCAGTTCAATGAACTGGTAAGCAATTCATGTGCTAAGAATTCTGCAAACTAATGTATTTTTTCTCTGTTAGTTGGGGGAACATAACTATATATTCAATACTAACTGTATAATACAATGTAATAGAGTCTTCTGCCAAGTCCTGACTTTACAAATTGGATGCTGATGGAAAAAGATCTAGAACTATTCTAAGTTGTGAAATTGTATTAATAAAGAAGAAGGAGACTGCTAGTGAGATAGTAGTTTAGAGACTGTATTTGTTCTTAGGGTTCTGGCTACTGTTTTTGCATAACTGGCCTCTAATTCATTAGATCCAGATCTGTGTTTAATATTGAAACTGAGTTTAGACTCAGGGAAACTGAGGAAGAGATGAACTTCAAGTCTCCCTCAGTCACAGCTGAAGATGTTTCTACGTAAACACAAAGTAAAAGATGACAAGTAGTATCATGTTGGTGTTAATCAGCAGGCTTTAGTTCAAACAACTTGTAGGGAAAGACAGAGATAAACCATTTGATAATGGATTTAGGTATCTTAACACAGAGAAATGGGTGTTTAAAAATTCCTTTTGATTTTAAGCATATTCCCTCCCAGTCTTTTCAGGAAATGAAGCAGCATACTTGTGGTGAGCATCTACCACCATACCACGCTGAACGCACCTGATTTCATCCACTTCAGAAGCTAAGCAGGGTCAGGCCTGGTTAGTCCTTGGGTAGGATACCTGTGGTGGGGAGCTCTAGCGCTGACTTAGTGGTTGATAGTATTCAAGTCTAAATTTCAGTGTCACTGGGCTGTGCCACTGGGCTGTGCAACATTTATTAGATGACTGACCACCACATTCCCATATTTTCTCTCAAATCTTAAGGTCAGTGGGATTCCTTTTTTTGTTGAAGACTGGTGCAATGGAAAACCTTCAAAATCTACTAATATCTCATTTCATATCAGGTCACTGCTATGTGTTCCGTGTGATTTCTTTTCCACATATTCATGACTTGGAAGCCCGGTGGAGGTAAGGAAGACAGTGTGGAGCCTCAAGAGGCAACCTTAGATCATTGGAGACTGCCCTCAGCAGGGTCAAGGGGGATTCTCATAGGGTCTGGGTTATTGCTTATGAGAGATAGTGATTACAGAAGTCCAAGCCTGACCTTGGTATCTCTTTCCAGCGTCTGGTCCTGGCAGTATGGCTTCTTCCTCTCCCACATCTGTTCCCACCATGACGCCATCCCCCTTCATTCAGGCCTGTACCAGAGGCTGAACGAATGGGTCCAAGCACTCTTGGACCTTCAGACTCCAAACCTGTGAGTTCAATAAACTTCCCGATCGTGTCCACCTTCAGGCATTACATTATAGAAATGAAAAATGGCCTAATACAATCACAATATTTTATGAGATCTGAAGGCTGGACTTTCAGAATGAGTAGAATTAAAGCAGCTAGGTGGAAACCGGTTTCAAGGACCGCTGAACCACACATGGTATCCTTTGATATTTGCCTTTTACACTCAACGTCCAACATAGGGAGTATAACTTCTAAAGAAATGCCAATAACCCTTTCAGAGGCTTATCTTAATTTGATAAGAGCTTTTAGTTAATTAGAGCGAAGAGCTCAAAGCTTGGGTCTGGGACATGAGCTATAAGATAAGCAGAGATAGAGAACGGGGAATAGGGATGCAAAAGAAGAGAAATATTTGCTCATTTAATAAGATACTCACCTTATGCATATTTAATAATATTCTCCTTTAAGAAGGTTCTCATTTAATAAGATTTCATATGCACATTTAATAATATTCTCATTTAGTAAGTTACTCACTGAATACGTATTTAATAATATACTCACATCCTTCAGGCACTGCTACACACTGCCGTGGAGCACAGATTCTCATCCAGGGGCTCACTTGATGGAGACACAGGGTGCAGTCCTAATTGAAAGTATCTTGGGGTTCCAGGTCGGGCCTCATCACCGTGCAGAATGGATGACGCAGCACTTCCGAAGCTTTATACCGTTTCCGGCCCCTGTGTGAAGTGATAACTATGCATAAATAGTAAACAAGAGAATTAGCTGATGGTGATAATTGCTGCTGAGAAATAAACACAGTAAGATTGCAGACAGTGCTGGGCTGGGATGAGGAAAAATAACATTAGACGGAGGAGTCAGGTCTGACCTCTGATGCCAGGGCACTGGAACTGAGACTCAAATCAAGAGAAGGAGCCAGGTTTGCAAACTGTCGGGAAATGTGTAAGGAACTCAGCTTTTTTCTATTTGTTTTCCAACAAAGCAGGCCCAAGGCACAAAGCTCAGGGTGACTGATATGTAGTAGGGAGATAAACGTGGATATAAGCCTGCACAGTCAAGGCTATGCACAGGGGATCCCAGGATGTGTTAAGAAGGTTGGAGTTTGTTCTGAAATTCCTGGGGGATGACCAGGATCTTCAAGTCTCACTGACTGCGGAGCAGAATATTAAAGACTGAGTGGCTCAAAGAATGGAAATTTATTTTCTTGATGTTTTAGAGGTTGGAAGTAAATCTGAGCTCAAGGTGCCACCACTCTGGCAGGCCTGTCTTCGTGCCTCATATACAAGCACTCCTGGCTGTGCCTCACATCGCTGCTTCTCTCTGTGCATGCTCCTGGTGTCTGTTCCTCTCCCTGTGTGCAGTCCTGTCAGATTAGGGCCCCCCAGCACAACCTCTGTTAGCCTCTGCCCCCTCCTTAAAGCCTTTTTTCAAATAGTAACAGTGGGCATTGGATATTGAAAAGCTGGAGCCTCATGATATAGTGAGTATGTGAGATGGTCTTATATTTGTGAAATACTCTTTTGGCTGCTGGAAAGCTTGCATTTGGGGACTGTCATCGTGCTATAGTTATGGTCAGTGTTCTCCACTGTATCTTATGCTGGTCTTTTTAAAAATCTCACCATTGTTAGACATAGGAAAAAGTATCTTATTAGCTTTTCATTCTTGATTTGAAGGTCAGGGTGCAATCCCAAGTAAAGAACCTGGGATATATCCAAACCGTAAAGAACACAAAATTTTGTGTTACTTTCTTTTTCTCCTCTTTGAAGGATTACAAGGTCATGGGTTTTTCTTTCCATAAATTCCAAGAAAGGCACCGTTGGATCAGCAGCAGCAATATCAACATTGTAAAAGTCTCATGGCCCCTAAGAGTCCTGCCTCCCATGCAAGGTAATTTGCCACCATTACTACTGTGGGAGCCCAGAAGTGATTTGTCTGCTCTGCCCCATTTACCAGGCCTTTCATAGTTTAGATGTTGGCCCTAGACACAGCCAAACAGGGGATCATGTTCCTTTCCCCTACTCAAGTGGAGCAAAAAGGAAGAGGAATGGGATGATACGAAGAGCTACAATTTCCAAACCTTCACTTATGCCAGTTAAGTGCATTCAAACAGCGACCCTTTGAACAGAGAACAGACCTACGAGGAAAATGTACTTAAGTCAGTTTTAGAAATAAAGAAAATGAGCCTTAGAGGAATGAACGTAGCTGTCTGCAGTCACATGATAAGGAAAATGTAGAGGCAAGTTCAGAACCTGACATACTCCAGGTGCCTTAGTTCTAAGCAATGTGTAATGTTACGTGTCTTTTCCCAACACAGGGATCTCCCTCTTAACATTACCAGGCAGAGCAAACGTTCACAGCATTCTCCTGGCACTGCATCAGTCAGAACTATGCATCCAGATGTGCAAACGTGACACAAATTCTCTTCTCTTCTGATAAAAGATGCAATATTTCTGTATAGGTGTGTATTCCTGCCTTCCCAGTAGTCCTGGTTTTATCCCTGCTGCATTTAGATTTCACACAGCCTGCAAAATCAGAGGAGTAGAGAAGAATTTAGGCTACAAAATAAGGTAGTACTGTTGGAATTTCTTTTTGATGTCGGGTCTTACTGACTACTAGGATTTGAGTGGAAGACAGGGAGAGAGAAGTCTGATTGCTTACTTATTGCATCTGGGGTGCTATTGGATTGCGCACATACACATACATGCACACTTTGGTAAACAGAATTAGAAGCGTGCCATACCTCATATCCAGAAATATATACTGAAATCATTTCCATGGCAACATGCAATCAACTATTAAGATAAGTGACAGCTTTATCCCCATTTCCTCCGGAAAAGCAGGAGGGTAAGTTGGAACATGAAAAGTTTCACTGACCAGTAGTAAAGCAGTCCAACATTGTTTCCTCTGAACCAGTCACATGCCTAAGGCTCTTCCCTTCCCAGAGTACTTTGTAAGCTCTTGAGAAACATCTACCTGCCCATGGTCTGCTGGCAGAAGCAGGAGCCCGCTGTTGAACAGTCCCAGGGTTCGCTTACTCTTTGGCATCTCCTGGAGCACAGCCAACACTTTCAGCTCAGACACCCTTGTTTCTCTCTGAGTCTCTCAACACCGCGCCTGCGCTCTCCACACGCGGCTCCTACCCAGCCAGATGAGGACAGGAACACGTAACCTGTCATTTACAGGAATGTAGCACCTTGCCAGATCCAAGCTGTCCTTTACTGCCCAGGGGTCTTCACAAGGGATACATTAGATGCTCTTCTTCAGAGTAGGCTTGAGATGAGAGAAAAGACACCCCCACCTGGGTGTTGATGGTGGGAACTCACAGCACTGGCTATTTTCTTGAAATGGCTCCTTTATTGAAACTCCAGCATCTTTTATTTTGGCTTCTTCCAAGTCTTAGAGAATGG